TTTTTTTTTTTTTTTTTTTTTTTTTTTTTTTTTTTAGAGCAAGCTCCATGTCCAATGTGGGGCTTAAACTCATGACTCTGAGATCAAGACTAGCATGCTCTTACGACCAAGCCATCCAGGCACCCCAACACAACTAGTCTTAGTGATTTCAGAAAGATGGTAATTGTTAAATATTTAAGCCCCCAAAAACAATTGCAGATGAGTACCTACCATCTCCAAAAAGATGTGTCACAAGTCTGGTAAGCGTTTGCTTAAGGTCAAATTCAATGAGCTTTGTGGCCTCCATGGTATGTGTCTCCTGTTTATAGGCAGAACGAGAATTCTGTTCAAAGAGCTGTAGGCTTTCTCCATCCTTTATGCCAGTAAATAACTGCAAACCAAGAGGAAAAAGATTCACAAATAAAAACAGTAATGTGGTCAGTCTACATGAAAAAAACATAATATGGGAATAAAATCCATTAAGTCTTCTAGTCAATGAGCATACTGGGATTAACATTCATTTAGTACTGACTCTGGACAAAGCACTATGCCACATGTAATGGAGAGTTTTTAGGGAATTAAAAACACTGTAAGGCTCTTTTTTCATCTCTTCACTTTACTTTGGCTTAACTTACAGTCATTTCCTCAAAACAGACATCATCCTCAATGCTAATACAAATACCACCGAATCCTGCTTTCAGATTCTAAAATTATATCCCTACATCCTATAGTATCCTTATATTGTGACCTGAGACTAGGTACGAAAGTATAATCCAAGAATTAAATTCTGGAAAATTCATGAAGTCAGGAAGCATGCTGGACTTTGCTTTAACCTTGTTATCACTAAAACCAAGGACATAATTTTGCCATTTACTATCCAAGTAAACACAGGGAAGTGTTATGATAGAGAAATCTCAGGTAATGATTTGTAAAGTAGAAATAATAACACTAAAAGACTGTGATAATTAAAATAATACGTGAAAAAAACATAGAGTAACTGGCACATTGCGAAGGATAAAAAAATTTTGATTATCATCATAATCATTATTAATCACAACTATTATTAGTCATAAGCTGCTTTACTGCAAAATAAAGTATCTCTATCTTTAACAAAATAGATCTTCACCTGCTAGGAGAGGAGTAAAGATGGAGAACTGAGCAAATGAATCTATCATTCTTTCCATCTAATGTCCCCCCCAAAAATTTTTTTAATGTTTTAATTTTACAAAAAATGAGTCAACTGCTGTTTCTAGTAACATTGAGGTGAATAATTAGAACAAAATTTCCTCATAAATTTGCTAAAACACACAAAAATTCTTAAAAGCATAGAAGTAACACAATAGAGAGGAATTACTTAAAACTCTACGAGAAAGCACAAAGCCAGAAAATAGCCCAGAATAAGCCATAGAGAAACACTGAGAATATCTGCATCTCCAATGTGTCAACTGAAAAGGTGAACACTGGTCATGACAGCTTACTATAACAAGTAAGGCTAAAGTGAAAGCCCACAGTATCTGACCAAGTTAGGTTATCGAATAAACAGCCCTAAACCACTTGCCCTCATGGTAAGGGATGAATACAATAGGAAACCAGTTCTTGTACAGCCTTGCAGTCCAGGCTCACATTACCTGGGCAAGAGAGAGAATTTCAGGCTGTGAAAATGGACTAAGGCAATCACAGACTGGTAGTTCCTCTAAGTGCCCACCAAAATCAAATGAAAATCTCAGAAAAATATTCTACTATCCTATAACTCAAATTAGTCCTATGAGAGCTGAAGACTGTGCAGCTGCCAAAGTAGAAGTCTTTCTAACACTTACTTTTTTTTTATTTTTTTTTAATGTTTTATTTATTTCTGAGAGAGAGAGAGAGAGAGAGAGAGAGAGGCGCAGCGTGAGCAGGGGAGGGTCAGAGAGACAGGGCGATACAGAATCCAAAGCAGGCTCCAGGCTATGAGCTAGCTGTCAGCACAGAGCCCGAAGCGGCGCTCAAACCCACGAACCGTGAGATCATGGCTAGAGCTGAAGCTCGTCGCTTAACCGACTGAGCCACCCAGGCGACCCTCCAACACTTACTTTAAAAGTAACTTAGAACAACAAAAAGAACAAATAAAACTATTAAGCACCACATTTTCATTATGAAACAGTCAATGCCCAACTTTCAATGCTTTAAGTTAATAAGGTGGGGGGCAGGGGGAGAGGAGAAAAATTGAGGGAAAGAGTGAACAGGGGAACTAGTGAGGTACTAAGGTTGATCTAAAATAGCCACCAGAAAAAGTAAGTGACCTTAAGTGTGAAACTGCTACAACTATTCTAGGAGATATGCCTAGGGACCACAAGAAAAGGACTGAAAAGCAAGCCCAAGTAAAAGTAAAAGTCCTCCAAAGGCATCATTATCATGGAAGAGAAAAAGGTGAAAATAATGAAAGACAACTCCTTTGACAACTGAGTGGGGAAGAGAAAATGAGGCAAAATAGAAAACTTTATTGGGGCTCCATAAAATAAAGCAAATTTAAAAACTTAAGAAAATTTATAAAACTATTCCTCAATCCACCTACCAACAAACAAACAAACAAAACAAAAACAAAATATTCCACTGAAGACTTCGCACTTCGCTACACTAACAGAAAAGGGCACCAGACAATTATAAATTCTTCCAAACAACCCAAAAAAAGTAACAAGAAAATGAAATAAAGCTAAAGGGAATCATTATTATCCCCCACCCCAGAAAATCAGAAAACCATTCAACACAGCTTAATGGATGAAATTCTAATCCTTTCCTCCTTGACCCCCTAAAAAGTCAAGAAGCAGAAGCAGAAGCAGATGCAGATGCAGAAGGTAACATACTACTTGAAAAGTAAACTTAATACACTAAACCACGCATTTGGGGTATAAACAATTGTTTGAGTCAGAAACTCAAAAATTAAGAACAAAACTGTATGAAAAACAGGAAGAAATGAGAGTTGGTTGAACTCAAGAAAAAAAATAGAAGAAAATTATCTCAGAATGGAAGTCTAAATTGCAAAGTATGCAGGAGGTAACAGCCTTAATGAGGATTTAATAAGGGGCATTAAAGAAAAGCAGGAAGACAACTAAGATAAGAACAATGAGGTGAAGAACGAAGAGACAGAGAGAAAGTCGTGGAAAAAGAAGCCATTCAAAGAAGGAATAACATATATATAATTGGAAGTCCCTGAAAGAGGAGAAACAAAACACTGGGACAGGACTAATGGGCACCAGATAAAATAAATATCTGAGAAAATGCACCTGGGAGGACAAAACACAAGACATAACCTGGGAAAAACTCTATAAGACTTCAAAGATAAAGAGGAAAAATCTCCTAGGCTTCCAGACAAAATGATCAAATAAGTTAGAAGGGCAAAGCAATTAGACTAGAATCAGACTCCTCAAAACAACAGACAACAGGGCAAGAATGCAACCACAATTTCAAACAACTCAATAATAAACAAAATTTTTTTCAGTATGGAACAAGAATTTTATATCCAGCAACACTGGCCTTTGAGCATGAGGTCTACAGAAAAAGTTGTAAACATACAAAAAACACAGGGGTTTTCACATTAATGAGCATTTTTGAAGAATTCAGCAAAGAATAAGCTTTATTCAAACAAAGCATAATTGGAAAATATTCAACTAAAAAAGAAAAAGTATCACATTAATGATGAATAATACATTAACATATAAGATTGTAGATGTGAGATTAAAACAGAGTAGAAGTAAAAGAACAAGAAATGGAAGAGGAGAGGAAGCAGAAGTGGCAAATGGAACATATACACATTGGTTACTGTATACATGATAGGTAATAGTTAAAGAATACTTTTAAAAAAAACTAGTAAGTTAAATAAGAAAACAGTGAAATGCGAACATTTAAAAAGCTGTAAAAATAAAAGTTACCATTAAAACAAAAATATGAACCTTTATAAAAGGCAAAAATCTAATTCAAAAGCAAAAACACAATAAAACAAAATATATCTGGTGAATGAAGAAATATGCTGAATATAAAATAACCATAACTACATAATACTATTGTGGAGTTGAGACCAAACATAACAGGCATTATCAATAAACATGAATGGACTAGATTCACCTCTTAAAAGAAAAAAAAAAAGAACAAAAATATTAAATGTGATCACAAAGTAGGACCCAACTAACTCTATGCTGTTTACAAGAAATACACATTAAACAATGTTTAAAAATAAAGGAACAGAGTAGAGTATAACAAGCAAACAGAAACAAAAAAATCAAGCACAGTAATCATGAAATTAAAAAAGGTAAAATTCAACCAAAAAAATAAAACACTAAACATGAAAAAGAAGACCTATTAATTGTAAGTTTCCAAGTCATTATAAATGCAGAGTACTAATCAATATTTACAAATCAAATAAGACAGAAATCACACTTATTCAGAAAAATACACAGGAGAAGTCCATTCTCCAGTTCATGGCTACTGTGTTGGGATTCCCCACGATGTTTGGAATCTCCCCTGGCCTCCAGGGGCATTTTTATCTTTGACGTGGCTCTGGAAGCTATGAAGAAGCAGCCTAGTGGCAAGCCTGGCAAAGTCACACCAGTCCCGGGACCCAAGTGGCCACCACCAGGCTTCAGGAGGTGCTAGGCTCATCAGAGCCCCACCCTAACCCTTCCCATAGACTAGGCAGACTGCAGCAAGCAGAAGCAATTGGGTTCTTTCATATCAAAACAGCAAAACACCAAAAAGGAAGTTGAGAGAACCCAACTCTTTACTATCCAAGCCACACACAAGCCTTCCTGACACACTATAACCATGTACCTTGCACCACATGGAAAATAAACTCCAAGCAGCCAGAAAAAAAGAAGAAGAAGAAGAAGAAAGGGCGAAAAGAAAGAGAAAGAAAAAGAGTAAAATCCATAGGAGATGCAAAAGACACGCTTAGAAACACTAATAGAATTTAATATACTATTCTTATGATAAAATCAAGTAAACAAAATCAACTTAAGAAGACAGAAGACCTAAACAACATAACTAACTAACAAAGGTAAGTTGATAGAAGACCTAACAACATAATAAAGTTTTCTAATAAAGAAAATTTATGAGGTTTAGGTCTTCTACATTCTTAAGTTGATTTTGTATACTTGGTTATTGTATAGCCCCCCCCCCACCACAAACACACGCACACATTGCTCCCCTGAAAATATAAATATACTTTCTTCTCAAGGACCCAGACAACATATAAGTATGCTCCATTAAAGAAGAAACAAGAACTATGGCCCATAATAAATAATAAGCTCCATTCTGACTACAATACTATAAACTAAAAGTCATTACCAAAAAAAGAAGAGAACAGACAGGCCCTTCTACATGGAAACTGAAAGAAAAGAAAAAGAAGGAAAAAAATCT